AAAGATTTTCAGCTCTGAGAGAGAAAAAGCTAACCTATATAAATTCTAGAGCTTCAACGAGGGTGCGAGCGAGCGGCTACGAGACGCCTCGCCAAGAAACGACCCAAACCGGACCACGCTAACCATAAGTGGAAATCCTATCCCAAGTTAGATAAGCAAAAAAGGGGAGTGTGGGGAAACAAAACATTCAGCTAATTGTGAGTACCGGCAGTTTTTTCACTAAGTCAATGTATGCTAATGCTTCTGCAAATACCAATATAAATGCAATAGCAGTTCATCTCAAAAAGAATTTTACAGCCTACCACCTTATGATTAGCCGTTCCTCCACTTAACGGACAAACAAAGACATACCCATTCTCCAATTTCATCTTGAGTAGACGCATGGCACACCAGGCATCCTCTACCGAACAATGTCCATGTGAGTTCTGCAAGAAGAGTTAGCTACAGATGATGAACACCAATAAAAATTGTTTCCATGGAAACAAACCTGGATTTCTTCGTCGAAAAACACGGACATAAGGTTTTTCAAACTTGTTTTCATTCGCTCAGTGCCAGATAGATTGTAAATAAGCCCAATGTCGATGCAATACCTTTAAAGCAAAATAAATCATGGAAGTTAGAATAGTGCTCTAGCGAAGAAACCCAACGGTGGTCAACTGCCTCTCGAGAACGTAGAAAGACGTCGTAGAGTGGTTTAGTGTTAGAAAGAACATTCAAAGAGTAGAGAATAAAAGAAGAAAACAAAAGCTTACGGATGAGCCAGTTGCATTGCACGTAGATCAAATTCCAACGAATGACCGCAGAGAATAGCATCAGGTGGCAAAATTATGCGAAGGGCCGTTTGTACGTCCTCGAGCGAAGTAGTTACCGATTCCAGAAGTTCAGGAGTTATGCCAGAAAACTTCGTTAAGTAATCCTGAATAAAAATCTTACAGATTGAATTACATAAAAAACAAGTTATTTACCATTTTCCCTGAAGGAAAATAGCTATCACAATCCGGGCGCTTGCTAGAAAGATAAACAAACTCATAAGAAATACAGCGCGCCCTTATCCTACAAGTTCCAGAGCTCTCCATAGTTCTCGCGCTATTTTCTCTATTCTATATCTCGTCCGCCACTGCATTGGTAGGTGATGAACAATGAATGATTAATGAGTGGAGAGAAACGAAGAAAATCGCTATCAAGCAAATTAGCTTAATGAGTCTGGTACTAACAATTTCATGACTTCCGAGCATAGCGCTCTGCTAAAACTGCACTTTTTGTTCAAAGAAACGACTGCGTAAATATGTGGCGGAACCCCAAAGTGCGTGAAACAGCCTCAAGGAGTCAGATAATCATGATGAGCTCTAACATTTTCATCACCAGGTGAGCAGACAAATAACCTTGGAATAAAAGAACAAGTTCCTATCGCCTACGAAATGAAACCCACCGTTATTTGATTCTTCGGTTTCACCAGAGTATCGAATATAACACTCCCATCTTCTCTTATCTGAATAAGAACTTGGTTAGCATACAGCCAATACGAGTACACGTTCAATGGAGAAAAATAATTGAAAAGCGAATAATTGTTTGAGAAAAAAAAGATCGTTCAAAAAACATACAAGCGATATACGAGTCAATTCATGGACACCAGCTGATGTCAAGCACATCTCACAATCCAATGCGAATATGGGAGAATCCTTCGTTACCACAGCATACCTGAATATTCAGCATGACAAATAAACTACTGAAACAGTGTTTCAGAATTAAGCAAAATCGGGAGGCATTGGAATAAGGGCACTTCTTAGTGCACCAGGTCTCCAACGCCAAACACAAAGGGTTGTATGCTATTCTCCCCAAAAAAGGCGCGCTCCACCCTAGAGGCTATCCTCCATCAAATCAACTTAGGGGAAGGGAAGACACGGTTTGTTTATAGGGCTCGTCATTGAGAGGCTGATGCTGAGGGGACCCCTGCTATAGGAACACTATTCTCTGTGGGTTCACTCTGTTGTAAGCGTCGGGAAGGCAGAAATACAGAGGCATGGCGGGCCTTATGATATCTTTCATCAGTCCTAGGAGGCGGAGGAGAGCGCTTACTTTTGGGAAAAAATCCGATCGGATCGGTCAATCAATACGTATGAAATGCTGTGCGATCCCTACGATGACGACCGACTATGAAAGCGCCCACACGACACAACGATAAGGAGACGTTCCTTTTATTCGTTGACAGAAACAATATATATGTAGGACCAAATTAATGCTAAAAGAAGTATATGAACAGAAGTACAACGGATGGACGCAGAGAATTCACAAACAAGACCAACACCAGTTCGCACTATTCAAACGAGAGGGTCACAGTTGCGATTTTGGGGGACGGTCGCATTTAGATTTTAAGAAGGTTAACTATGTTTGGGAAAAAGAAGCGAATGGAATCGTACTTAGACCGACGTCATAGTCGGCGACGGACAAGCGATGGAGCGATCGCGATCGCTCCATCGCTTGTCCGTCGCTTGCCAATCGCTCTCGGTCGAGCGATTGGCAAGCGACGGACGAGACCGAACGTGACGTCGGTCTTATTTACAGTGGTTTCCGACGATTTCGACGAAAACCTCGCCAATGAGGTGAGAAATGAGCGGAATCGGAGGATTTGCCCTTTTCATTACACATATTCACTGGATGGCATTTTCGGAAGGTGGATGGTTTGTGAAAGCGGGAAGGGAGGTAGTTGCCTGGTTTTCTAGAAACATTCTACGAAAGTTCCAAAAAAAGTCAGCATGAAATGGTTAAAATTTGGGGAATTTCAAAAAGGAATTCACTCCTACCCCGCTCAACGGCCGTTCCGGAGGGAGAAGTCGAATCAGATGCTATAGAAACAGCCATTATGGCGAGGGTGGTAGTCGGACCTGCTCACAATTCTCCATTTCACCCAAAACCGC